AAACTAAAGGTGTTTAAGAAGTCTCAATTATTCACAAAGCTAAGATATTTAACATGTCAGATACAGGCTGATTTATCTTAAAACTGTTGTATGACAAATCTTTGAGCAATTTTTCAAAATAATTATTTCTCAATACCGATTTTTCCCCTCAGATCTTTTAAAGATCTCAGCTAATATCATCAGCTTATTTTATGTATAAAGCTGAGTAACAAGGAATTAGGAATTAACAGATGTGAGTGTATCACGTGGTCTCTCGTTCAAATCTGCTTACAGTTGGCCTTATTTGGTAAAGATGAAGTTTTTCTCTTATTCCATACCCCAAACACTAGCAACTAGCAATTTCCCCCATGGGAAATCATGTGAAAACTTGAAATTAAAAGCAGTACTTCAAATATTGGACTGATTCCGTTTTCACGAAGGCTTTATACCAACTAATAGTTGGCTCAAGCAGCATTGTCTTAATCTATCACAAATTATTAATGATGGCGCTGCGCTGCCATAACTGATATGAGCATATTCTTCTCACATATGTCACTGACCTAGTCCTATCCTTGGGCACAGCAGCAGCTTAAAAACCACTTTCTTGCTGTAGACCTGCTAACCAAACCTTGTAGCAATAATATGCAAAAATGGAGCCAGTCATGTCTCTCTCTCTCTCTCTCTCTCTCTCTCTCACACACACACACACACACACACACAGCACTAGGAACTGAAGGTTAAACCTCTACCACCTAGGTGTAACTTAGAAGTCCCACCTGAAATTTTCTGGGATCCTTTTCTCCGCTTCACTGCCTTTAGCAGGATTTCTTTCATGGTGACCTTTGTGTTGTCCACCTGAATAAGGGAGAATCCATGAGCAGCATTTCTGTAGGATAAGACAAATATTAAATCATCACCAACATTCAACCAGAAGGATGTTACTGTAATCTTCACAGTGTTTACAAAAGTTTTAATAAGTGCATCGAGTGCCAATTATTTGAAAATAGGTTAAATAAATCTACTTTTAATGGAGGGCAGAATTTTGGTTATGGATGATTCAAGAGAAAGAGAGGCCGGAGCCTGGGAAAATTTTTCCAGTTTATCTCAAACTGAATTACTTGGTCTCTGTGGGAAGACAAATCCTGCAGCAAGATTGACAAAGGATAAACTTGGCTTGTGGCAGTAGATGTCACTGTAGGCGTCCTATTAAACCTCATGGAACCCCGAAGGCAAAAATGTCATGGGACTGGTGGTAGGGAGAAGATAGCCCAAAGCAAGTTAGAATATTGGAAAGAAATGGTTATTTATTCCTACCTGGTTAGTAAATACACACAGAGAGATATACAGGCTGTGTATGTTTCAGTAGGAGTGTTTTAATCTCCTAGAGGGTCAAACAGAACATTAGCTGAAGCATAAATAAATACAAGACAGAATATTAACATTATTTGTAGGCTTCAAGCCAATCCAACTCAGGGATTGGGGGGGTGGGGAGGGCAGTTATCCAGATGGGAAAAAACTGGGAAGGAGTAAGAACCCGATTACAGAAGCCCTTCCCTGGGTGAGGTAAAACTTCACTAAAACTGTTAATTGCAATAGCCAGTATCACAAATCCTACTCACTATGCACAGGCACTGGAACAAACAGGCCAATTCCAAGTAGCTCACGTAACAAATGGGACCCAAGTTTCCAACTATGGAACATGGGAATTGCCACAAGGAGTTTGGTTGCATTCCCACTTCACCACAAGAATCTCCAAGGGAAACATGGCCAAAAAACATGGCAGAACTTCCTACTGACAAGAAACCAGAAAGAAAAGCCAAGTCCCAAGCTAAGCTGTGCAAAAGCGTCCCACGGGGAGGACAGGTTGGGAAGGGGCTTTAAGGCTAGGCTGGGCCCTGCTGGCTTCCACGGGGCTCGGGGCAGATCTCAAAACCCAGGACCCAATTTGCTTTCCTAATACAAAGATATCGCCACACCCCTCCTCTCCACACAGCTTGCTGTTTAATCCCTGACATTCCATTTGTTAAAAAGCAAAAGCCGACGTTGGTCTGGCAAGCACGATCATCCATTTTAACTTGGTCAAGTTCTTGCTATCGAACAGCAGGCCTGAGAACTGTCAAGCTAATTTTACTGAGCACTCTGTTACTGAATCATGCCTGAGTCTCGGCCATTCTTTACCTCAGAAGCTGGACCCCATCCCAGAACAATCTTTAAAAGTTTATTTTACTGATCAAAGCAAAATAAGAAATAGCTCTTCTAAAAAACTATATTTAGGGAGCGATGCAGTAAGTGATACTTTGGCAAGAGTACTGAGATGTAAAGTGCCTTGTGCATTTATAAACTTAGGGGTATTTGCTCTGGCACTGGGCCAGTATGTGTTTGGAACAAATGCCAATCATCGTGTTGAGGCCTGCCTTCCCCGCTTTCTCCGCGGAAGTCAGTCTGCACTCCATCTGTGACAATATGCCGGGTGACGGACGAGCAGGGCCTAACGGGAAATACAAGTTCTTGGGTACTCACAATCTAGCAGTGCCTAGAGCGCACCGACTTCCGTCCACCTGGGTCCTACCTGAACTACCTCAGCTCTAGGTCTGTTTGTAAATTGCCGACATTGCCTCCTACTCTGCTGCTGGCGGAGAGCATGATTGTGAACCAATGAGCTTATCTTTTTCAGCAAAGGCAGACTAAAAGCTCAAAAGGAAGCCTTGTGTTTGGACTAACTTCCATAAATTAAAAGTGTCCTTTTAAAAGATTTTTGAACACAGGAAAATCCCTAGTCTGTATTTTTCTGTCATTTCACCAAAACGCACCTGGGTGACAAGGTTAAAGCAAGCAGAGGAAATCCCTGGCACTTATCATCCACAGGCATTACTGATAAATTGTGTGGTGGAGGAATAAAGGATTACCTTCTGTATTTTTTCATTACACTTTTCTTTTGTTACAGAATACATAAATCCATTGTGGCACAATGTAATATGTATCACCATGCTACACCTGCGGACGCTTCCGAGCGGCTGCCATGTCTGTGCAGTCAGGAATGATAAGTGAACCACCCGTGAATGTTAACGATAGTGATCATTCTGAGGTAACTCGGCTCTCCATCTTCCTTTACAGCCTCCGTGCTGAAGCCAGGGTAGCAAGGTTCACGAGAGGAAAATGAAAACAACAGCGCAGGGAAGGGGCACACGCGGCGCTGGGAACGCGTCTTCACGAGCGTGCGGCCTCTTACCCTGGGGCTCCATTTTGGTAAAAACACACACATTAAAAGGGCCAAAGGCTGTGGCCCACGCGCTGTGCACAATCCAGACCTCATGAGAGCTTCTTCAGGTCAGCTCTCCCCCAGCAAGGCCAACTTTGGATCCCGTTCCAAGGCCACAGTACGTAAAGGGGCAAAATGATTCCAAAATACAAGAATACTCCTCAGACCCCGTCTGGTGTGACCGAAGTGACAATCCCGTTTAATGAAAGGGTAGAGAGGCTGGCTACCACAGTTTTCAGCCTGCAGTTTCCAAACATTCTGGGTTTTATGCCTCCTTCGTTATATTCAGGATTTTTTATGGGTTTGCAAAGTCTGTTGAGACACATCTTTAAAAGGCACTTATATTTCATGTTGGGTATTGGGTCTGAGGTGAAGACAAGTGGGGGGATGCTGGCCGCACAGAGTCAGGTGCCATCCTGCCTCCCTACCTTATGGCACTGCGTTCCAGTCTCTGGGTTCAGACCCCTGCAGGGGGCAACTCGCTCTCGGACAGAGAGACCAATGGACAGACAGATGGCTACAAACCCAGAGTGTCCGCTCAGAGCTCTCCTCCTCTCGCGGACAACAGCTTGCTCTCCGCCAGCTCAGGGACTCAAGGGGCACCACACAGAGGCAGCTGCCTTCCGCAGCTCCTGAGAGGCCTGTGCTGGGTGCACAACGCTCCACTTCAGGGAGCATGCAGCCAGGAGCGCTCCAGTCAATTCAAACTTAGGTCCTGTCACATCTTGTAGCCACTGAAAAATGTACAGACACTTTAAAAAGAGATTACTCACTTGAGGAATTCAGCTCTGTCCTGGTGCAAAGTCACTCAGTTACCACAGGGAAGTTTTTATATCAGCATGAGCCAAACAATGAGCGTTTCTCCACTAAGTGTTCAAATAGCGGGAACGAGGGGCAGAGAGGAAGTGGGGGCACAGGCATTTGCGTGATTCTTTTTAAGGGGACAAAGCTAGAAGCCAAGGTGGAAGGTAGTACACCGAAGAAACAGCACGGATGGAGAGTTGAGTACTCTTTGGTTCAATTCCTGGCTCCATGGCTCCCCAAGAGGTTGCCTTCACATGTAGGAACCTCATCTGCACCATGAAATCAGGAAGGCACTTCCTTACAGAATTACCAGGAACATTAAGATGGACAGCAAATGCCAAGCAGCACGAAGGCTGGCAAACAGCAGAACAGTGTCCAAATGTTGGCTATCTTGTGTTCCTCTTGTTCCTCATCACCCCCAAGAGAACGGGCCTGCTAAGTTCCTTTCCCCTGCTTCCAGGCAGAGATTGCTTATTTGGGGAAATGCCCCCAATCCTCACTGCTTGTAATTGGGAACACAGGCCAATTAAAATGACAATCTGCTGGGCATGGGGCAACGTCCAAAGGCACTGTCAGCAAGCGGACTGACCCAGGCGCCGGCACACTGCGGCTTGGCTGTTACCAAGACTTTCCTTTTCGGGAGAAGCATGTGTGTTGGTTCACCTCAGCTTAACTCACTGACTGGATGGGGATGGATAGAAGTCAAAGAGCATGTTGGCAGAGAAATTAAATGACCCTTAAGAGCTTTTTGACTTGCACATTACAATGTTATTCTTCAGCAATTACGACAATAGCAGCAACTACTATCCACTGAATACTGAGTATGTACCAGGTGCTGTATTGTTTTTAAAGCCTGCGTTAGCTCATTTGGTTCTAAAATAGGTACTAATACTATAGCCATTTTACAGAACCGAGTCTGTTTGTATTAGGGAATTTACCTGAGCTCAGTCAACTGTTAAGAGTCCTATTTTAGATTCAGAAACCAACAGCAGTCCCTAATCCCAGCAGCAAGTGTAGAAGGAGAGACCAGAAGCAGACAATGTTCTGTGATATGCATAAAGGTCAGAGCAAGCCAGAGTGCTGCTGGGGCACTTAGCCCCATAAAGTATGGGTTAGGGGGTCAGAGGAGCTCCTCGGCGGAGCTGTCTTAAAACAGTCACTGTTTAGTTCTATGCCACAGCAAGAAAGATGTGACGACGTGAGAAGACAGCAGAGACCAGAATGTCCTAGAGTAAGATTTAGGCTCCCAGCCCTGCCTTCCTTTGGTAAATGACAGTTTAACTGCCAGTTTGCTCATCTACAAAAGGGGGATAATAATTTCTAGACTGTTGTGAGGAGTAACTACTTCTAAAGCACTTAACATCTGTCATATAACAAAGAGCTTAGTCAGCAACAGTAACCCAATAGCCACCAGCTTCTAGTCATATGTATAATGAAGGGACACATAATATTGAGCATTTACTCTGTTCACCTGTTCATCCTCCTATCAAAGACAGGTATTATTACCGATCCATTTTATAGAGGAGGAGATTGAGGCTTGGCAAGGTCTGGACCCCTGTCTGGGGTTACATGGTGAGTAAGTGGCAGAGCCAGGCCTTGAACTCATGTCAGCCAGATTCCGGAGCCTATGCTCATAACTACAGTCCAGAAGGGAAGTCATGGGGACTCAAGAAGAGACATCTCTTCCAGAGAAACATCCTCCAGATTGGCGCCACTGACCAATCTGAGGAAAAGGTTTACTTCTGTTCATATTGAGTTTGACTATCACTGGCCCAGCTCTTAGACAAACACAAGACCTACAAGATCCCTACAAGATGCCTTGGGGAATGGCATTGTTTCATGAGTCCCAGTCTCAGTCTGTGGCAGTGGGAAGAGGCTGCCAAGAGCAGTACTCGAGTCCTTCAGTCCTGACGAGCTCATAACAGCAATGAAGACAGTCTTCTGGTTCCCACCTGCTCGGCTCCCCATTCCAGGCATGCTCATTCTCTAGCACTTCAAGGCAGAAAATGAAAATATATGAGCAAGAGAAAGCCTTGTAATAACCGCAGCATGCCCGCCTTGATGCAAGCCCTTTGGGCATTACTTCATATACAGAGTGAGTCTGCACTAGTATGAATGCCACATTTGGTTTCCCCTCGCACTGACAAAATTTTTTTAAAGATCAAAGTGTATTGTATGAGTAAGCGATGTTTGACATTGGACAAAGTACTCTTTTTCAAAACAGACATTTTCCAAAAACATAACTTGCTAGACTAATGGGCAGTGAGAAGCCAAAATGACTGCCCTCCGCCTTCTCCTTGTGTATCTTTGCCAGAGTCCTTGGGACTTGCCAAATCCGGTCATGCCTGCTTAGCTTGCTCGACTGATTGTGCCAGAAAAGAAAATAAGACACAGATGTATTTGAGCTCTTTGAGATGCCAGTAAGAGAGACAGCTAATGGCTTCATTTCGACCCTCCCCTTCCAGCTGGGCACAGGTGGGGGATAATGAGGTCCCTCTCCCTAATCAAACTCAATTATTTACTACTCTATATAACCGCAAAGACATTCACATTCAGTTCAGAATATAAAACACACCGTGGGCTACTTCCAACCACTGCCACTGGGTATTTATAACAAACTCAAGTGGCTAACAGTTTGCCTTGGCAGGAGTGTAAGTGTGTAAAGTTTTGCAAACTGTTTCTGTTCAAATATGTCCTGCTGAAATGGGGTCCCAGGCGGGGTTCCATAACTGTCAGGTCAGTGAACTGCATAACATCTGAGAATGTATTCACCATGCAGTGCAGACAGGATCTGGAAATCAAACGCTTCGTTCTATTGCAACCTTCTGAGAAGCATCACCGTTTTTTCAACGGCAAGACTGACATTGTATTAATAAACATTACAAGTCACTAGCCTGACATGTACATAGCAGCAGCTGACAGACTCCAACATAAGCTGAGGGGAGAACAGAGGAAATCAAAATGAGACATAGTAACTAAACATGGCCAAAGGGGGTGGATCACGAAACAAATCACATTAAATGTCAGAAATGTAAACCCTAAACTTTTAAGATACATAGCTACTAATGCAACGTTCTGGTATAATTTTTGGATAGCAAAGTAAATGGATGGCTATCGAAAACATGTGCTTTTATTGCAGGAACAAAGAGTATCCTGGCACAATTTCAACAGACATTCCAGTGAGCAAAACACACATATTTAGCTTGTCTGACCTTTAAATTCTTAGAAGTATGTAATTAATGCTTTCCATCTTTATTATGTGCTCCAATATTTCTGTCACTTTAAACAGACACAAAGAAAAATCTTTTCTTTTCTCTAGACAGTAACTGTTGCCAAAAAGGAAATCAAGTCAGATTTACAAATACAAAATTAAACAGGCTGCATATGTTACATTTCCATACACGAGGACAATCTGGACAATGAAAATGTTTGTTAATACAACAGAATGAAAAGAAATAACACACAGTTGGTCCTCTATGACTCGAGCAAACAATAAATAACCAGAATAATTTATACCCATATTATCAGGCCTGACTACAAAGAACACAGACATCTTTTTAAATTGCTTATCCTATTTTAGTGCTGCTCATCATCAGACTGTACGACCCTGGGTAAGGACTACTTGTGTCTGATGCCCAGTTTATATATTAAAAGCATGAATCGCTTGTAAGGAAGAAATGAGATAATGGCTACTAGGCAGCAAACTGAGTGAGTACACAGAAACGCTTATTTTCTTCTTCTTCTTTTTTGTCTTCCTCTCCAGACCATAAGGCAGTATTACATAAATAGGAAAGGCTTTGAAAGTAATGATATCCTTTCATGAAGTTCTGGTCACTTGGGGTATACTTTGGAGAAGGCAAAGTCTTCTGAGAGGCCCTCAAACAGGAGACAGTAATGGATCTAGGTATGTCTCTTTACCAGGCAGTTCCCTTTTCCTGTAGTCTGCAGGAGCCACAGTAATCTGGGGGTGGGGGTGGGGGAGGGGTAGGTGGAGGGTTGGGGGGGTGTTCCAGGCCACAGTGCCCACACAGCCAGTCTCCAACAAGACCCGCTACCAATGACCTGCCTGATGTGACCTTTCCCAAAGAGCAAATCTTAGCTGGGTTCTACTTGTTCTCTACAGCCCTTGGTTAGAATGGTTCCTTTCCCATGTGCACCCATTCTATCAATTATTTTCAATAAAATACATACATGAAGTCAGTTTAATTGCTCTGACTTCTGATGGCTGGGGATTCTGTTCATTTTACTGGTTTTGACTTCTCTTCCCTAATCGAAACCAGGATCCTGGTGTGAAACATTAATGCCCACACGTGTAACAGAAGGACACATCACAGCTGCTATTGTCATGGCTGTTTTTAAACTTGATTAAATTACCCCTTGTGCTGGGGGATGGAAAGTATCAGACCAAGCAGATTCCTCACCTGTCTGCTCCAAGATCTCATCCTCCCCTGCCTTACATCACTGTGTCTGAAGATCCAACAGGCCTCAACTCAGTCATTGCTTACAAAAAGCACTTTCCAAATGTTGGGAAGCAGCTTAATCCAGCTCTTTATCTATTTTGGGGAGCTAACCCAAAACCCCATAAGCTCTTTTCCCCTTACTTTTCTTTTCCCCTGGAAAGAAAGGCTGGTCTAGCCCTGACTCAGTAGAACTCAAAAGGTATTCAGTTCCATGTTCTTTTAACAGGACACTTTTCCCGCTACCTAGTTACATTAACTAGCTCCTTTTTTTGCATACACATAATTAAATAAATCTTTGCATGGTCAAACAAGGGGAAATTTAAAATTCTTCTTTATATAGAGGCATACAGCTCTATTTTCTGTTTTGTTTTTTTTTTCTAGAATAGCCATGTATCAACTAGGCAACAAAAAAATAACCTAAAAGGTTAAACCTCACATACACACCACCTTAGTTTAAATTATTCAAATAGCCAGATAAATCTCTGACAAAAATTAACAAAATAACAACTATGTAATACTTCCTACATCCCAGGGTCTGGGCTATTTCTTTATAGCAGCATTTCTTACCTGAGGTCCAAGGGCCCCTCAGGGTCAACAGATGAATTCACAGGCTCCCTAAGTTTTAGAATTTAAAAATTTTGCTTTTAGTTCAATGAAAATCATATATATACATACACACACACACACACACACACACACACACACAGAAATACATGTACCATAAACGTATGATATTTAGTTCAATGAAAATGTTCTGCCTATTACTTATATAAGTTACTACACACATAGTAAGTTACTATACACATATGTTACTATATACATATAGATGTATATAAATGTATATATAGTGACTGATACAAGCAACAGATAAACTGATATAGACATAAGCCACTCCCAATCTTCCATGTTCCCTATAATCTGCCCACCTGGGGGAGCCCCATCTTACTGCTGAGAGGAGAAATACCCAGAATAGTCACCTGACCTCATCAGTTATGAACAATTTGCCTGGATAAGCTATGACTGAAAAAGCTGGCACATGTCGACTTGGTTATATATTGCCTATGGCTACTTTCAAGTTACTATGGCAGAACTGAATTACCATGATTGTATGGTCTACAAACCTAAAGATTTACTCTCTGGCCCTACACAGATAAGTCTGCCACCCTATGAGATAAGCTGGTGGGATTTAGGGGGCTTGTGTTCCACAAGTCTGCCACCCTATGAGATAAGCTGGTGGGATTTAGGGGGTTCCACAATTAGTATTATATTATAATGCTATTATAATATATTATAATACTATTTTAATATTAGTAATAGGTTTGTTTTAGTTCGTAAAAGTGAAACGGCATCATTGCAAGCTACATGCAAAAACAGTTTGCTGAATGGAGGAGAGAAGAGAAGTGGGTGGCACGCTCTCCATGGACAGTTTGTGTGCTCTGTGGTGCCCAAGTCACACTGCGCTGTCAACCAGGCAGTCTACCTGTGTACCAACCGACCAAAGCAGAAGTATGGTGACCAACCATCCTGGTTCACCTGGGACTGGTGGGGGGCGGGGGGCGGGGTTGCTCTTGGATGCAGGCCTTTCAGCTTTGAAATAGGGAAACTCGCAGGCAAAATGGCATTAAATTGGTCACCCAGCAGAAATGTTCCTTATTTTGCCAGTAAAGAATATTTAAAACTGGGGGTGGGGAGAGGCAGTGTGTACTATATATCAATTGGCCTGTTAAAATAATGGGCTACTAGTTAACATATAAACTGCTTAAAAGGACAAACAATGATATAGTGATCTGGTTTCATAATGAAAGACTCAAGATGACAAGTAAAACATTTGACATCCACAGAACCCAACATCAGCAGTTTAATTTCAGCAAAACGTCACCTGTAGCATTAAAGTTTGTAATTTGTATTTTATCAATGCTCTAGTTTTATTTACATTTAACTTGTAATTTTGTTTGGGTTGCATAAAGACAGGGAATTTACAACTAGAACTCACATATCTATATTTTCAAGTAACATTGACTAAGGTTTCAGGAGAATTGATTTTCCTTTAAAAGAGGGTTATACATTACCTGTGTTTATGAAAATTCCTTACAATTCCATAAGGTAGTTACTATTATCCTCATTTTGCAGATGACGAAACTGGGACTCATGATTATGGAGCAAATGTCTAGTGAAGTGGAAACTTGAACCCAGGGGAGCCTGAGTGCAAAGTCTGTACTGTCTCATTGAGCGCAGGGGAAGATGGTACATTAGAACCTCCTGTGTGAGGGTCTCTGAAAGCCAGAAGGCAACCTGCAGCTTTACGGTATTCAAAAGGCCGGGACAGGGCTCCAGAAGAGAGCAAGGGGCCCAGAGAGCAAGGTGAGACAGCTCAGCCTATGGCCTCCCAGCAGCCCACAGACACGAAGCTTCCGTCATTCTCTACAAAGGCCGGTGCTGGGTGCTAAGGACACAAGCATGTAAGTCTGCCCTCTCTGGCTGCGAGGAGTTTCTAGTCTCGCTAATATCTTCAAGCTGTCTGTCCGTAAGATGCCCACCTAGAAGCTCTCCAGTGAACCGGAGCTGCCCATGCTGAGCACATCATTTCAGTTCAACTTTTTCAGCCCAGCTAAACCATGTTCACCCAAGTTCTGTTCCTTTCCTACCAGAAAACAGAAGGAGGAAATATAGAAGCAGCAATGAGATCTATTTAGATACCCAGACAAGAAACTCTGCAGCACACCTACTGTGGTAATGGACCGTGCTAGGTATAAGGGCACACATGATCCAGTTCCTGAGACTTCAAGGATTTCTATTAATAACAAAACTGCAGCACACACTTAGACAATGCTGACACAGAACAGGCATTATTCTAAGGGTTTTACATACAGTAAACCATCCATCCTCACAACAGCTCTATAAAATAGGTATTATTATTATCCTCGTAACTGTGCCACAGAAAAGTTAAGTAATTCATTCATGATCTCTCACCCACTAGTAAGGGCAAGGTTAGCAGTGACCCCCAGGAGCCAGGAGTCTGCTTCCAGAAGCCTCAATGCTCCTGCTTCTTACACTACAGCAGTGGCTGAGTGTTGGCCTCACAGCACCAAATCTACTTAAGTGCTAGGCTAACAACAGACTCCCTGCCTCCAGCCCACCCCTCAGCAAGGAAAGAGTGATAACTTCGAAGTCAGTCAGCAGGGGGGCAAGCTGAGAGCTATACTTCTCGGTTTTCATGTCTCTTAAATGCTCATAATAATACTGGGCTATTTTCAGACTAAGTGAAAAAATAAACACATAGTTGGCTTTCAGCAAGTACTCATTCACTCACTCTCTCCTGTCAACCCTAGCTTGCTTTTCTTGCCTCAGCTCAGTGTCTTCCCAGACACTTCTTGCTCATTCTCCACTGGCCACGAGAGGTGAGGAGGGAAGGGGAGCATGAAAATGAGTAGAGCTTTACTTGTTTTTGCTGGGACTGCCCCCTCTGAAACTTTCAGTGCATCTCTGGAGATTCCCAAGGCACAAGAGGCTTTTTAAAATTAGGTGTAAACCAGAAAGGCAAATGGTGACTGAACCAAGAAAATAAACACAGGGCAAATGATCAGCGATCTGTTCCATTTCATCAGACCACTGAGAAAAAGAAATAGAAAATTCATTGACCTTCTTGTTCTAAATGATCACCTGCAAAGGTTTTACTTATTTCTTGTTCCAGAAGCATTCCAGACATGTGGAATAAAATCTCCTGAACTTGAAAATAGCAAAAGGATTGACACTGTGTGTGTGTGTCTAAGTAGGTATGTACAGGATGGAAGGGATGAAGTACTGTAGGAGGAAAAGGAATATAAAGTGTCAAGCCGTTGTTACTCCAGCTCCCTTTCCTTGTCCTGGTCACAGGAAGGGGGAGCGAGACACTGCAGTCTTAGATGCTTCGGCTAGGAGAGTACACCTATCCCAAATCCACCCACTCTATTGAAAAATCACTGATTTAGAAACACTTCTTTTAAAAAAGGAAATTCTGCACCCTCCCTGGTGGCACAGGGGGTTAAAGCGTGGCACTGAGAAGCTGGAGCCACTTCCGCAGGAGTTCATCCCCGCCCGGAGGTGACCACATGGCGCAGCAGACCTCTCCTGACCCGCCCGCTGCTCCCCTCGGCAGTGTACTTCAGTCAGTCTGCCTGCTCTGCTCCCCACTCTGTCTCTGGTGAAGCCTCTCACTCACTGCCCCTGCACCTCTGGCCTGTACCCCAGTTATAAATAAATAAATCTTAAAAAAAAAAAAAATGGAAATTCTGTTCAAAAGACTGTTCATTGAGTGTTAATATTTTTGTAGTAAAAATTATGTGCTAACAAGACCACAATTCTTCTAGTTACTTATTCATAAGCAGTAAAAATGTAAGTGGAAACTACTAATCGCATAGTAACAGTAATACACAAAATTGCTATACATGTTTTTTGAAAACAAAAAAATGAAAACAAAAGCTTTTAATGATTATAAAGCAAAAATAACGTTTACGAGTTCTGTTGGTAGCACTGCAGATGGGTCCATCTTTCAGGAGGCCACAAGTCTATACAAAGCAAGAGTCTACAGATGTGTCTTTGCTGACCAATATCCCACTCACAGGAAGTTATCCTAAGAAGTTACTAAACAGAAATAAAAAGGGCTACTGAGAAGGTCTGTCACAGAATCATTTATTAAAGCCAAAACAAGGAAACAATCTAAGCATCCTATGAAGGCTCATAGTGTATCTTGTGTGTTTTCCTATTATACTGCTCCTAACATTTTAATGATTTGGTTGGCAACGATTTCTCCACTAGTATGGGAACTGAGAGGGATTGTCTCTGTCTAGATCCTTGGCACATAATAAATGCATATTACAGGAATTAAGGTTTCAAATATTTGTAATATCATGTGAAGTAAAAAGAATATAGTTTGCAAGATGGAGACTACAATATATACTACATGGGATTATCCAAAAATGAAAATTTTATTAGGATGGAGGAATCACTGGATAACTTTGAAGTTACTTTAGGTATTCTTTGAAGTTGTTGCTTCAGTGTGTCTGCAAAGCGCTCTGTATATCAAGCGTGACCTCACAGTGGGGGTGAAATGGCAAAAGCAGACTCAAGGAGCTACTTCCAGCTCACCCACAGGCACACAAGTATTCTTTCTTTGTTCAAGGTTAGAAAGATCCAAAATGCTCGCATCTCAGAGGTAGCATAATTCTATTTTTAGTAAAAATCTGAGACAAAGGCAATCTATTTTAAAGAGACAGGGGGAAAGTGATGTCAAGCACTCCCTCTTTTGGATAGTGACTTTGCTGGTTACTAACAGCAGGGGGTGCCAAAGGGATCCCTATTGTTCCCAGGAGAGGCCAGGAGAGGGACTGTGCTGGCCTCAGAAAAGCTTAAACTGTGCTTAGAAAATGCTGCAGGTTTCCCACTAACAATGGAAAACATGTGACTAAAAGTGATGATCTCTGTAAACTTGAATGGACAGAAATTACATTTTTTATTTTCACCAACTTCTAACTGATATTTAGCATTTCTTAAATTCCAAATGCAGTCAACAAATCACAGCAGCATTAGCAGTAAGTGTGAATGGAGGAGCAGAAATCAGCTGTGTGGTTGCAGATGGCTCCACAGCCTTTATCCTCATCGCTACTCTGAAAAGAGACTTGAGAAGTCACTGTTAGACTTGCCACTGGATCTTGTTCTTACTGTAGCAATGAAGCCATACATATTAATAAATCACACACTTGTTTAATAATTTTAATATCAATTTAAATACAATGAAATTCTTTTGTACCCTTGTCAATTTTATTTTCTGCTATTTATAAGTACTGCCCTAAAAAGGGTGTTTATAGGCTTTACCAGTCTGCCCAAGATACAGGGAAGGATCATGATCCTTGTTCAATCCAAAGGCAGGCAACTGAGAGGAAAAACCAAATTTGATTTGAATACAGCTGGAGAAAAAAGGAAGTATTTCAAGTCAGACAAGAAGAGGCTGCACTGAACATTTTCATTTAGTTTGGATCCCTTAAGACCAAGAGGGCAACTTGGAAGTTTTGCTTTAAAGGCTCCAAAGGGCCCCGGCCCATCCAGAGGCCTGGTTCATAGATGTGGCACTCAGAGGTCTACCCAATTGAAACAGCCTATGTTTAGTCTAGCTGTAGGGGCCTAACATGCAACATAGATGTTGTCCCCATGATCTCCCTGCAAGTAATCATTACGTGTGGACTCTCCAAACACCAAATGTCATTCATTTGATGAACAAGACCAAACTGAACTCCACAAAACCCCTACAAGGTAGAGATGAGATATGAATTAATAGTCAATACTCACATTCGAACAAAAAGCGACTCTTTGGAAGTCAGGCCTGGAGATGAATACTTTTCAACCAGGGCCAAAGTACTGAAGCCAAACTTGTGAATGGGCTCGTTGGAATCCAGTGGGGGGAAATCAGTGTCGACCTCCCCATCATCCTCGGCAATATGCAGGCAGTAGGCACTGACATTGTCACTAAAAGGAAGATCAAAAAGATGAGTGAAGACCAAGGTGCGGGAGAGACAAGACCAGACAATATGGGATACAGCAAGCAGACTGGGACACTGTTGTTTTTTACCCCAAAGCCTGGTGATATGGTCAGGTCCCCCAAATCCTAAATAGTCAGATTCTCCCAATACTACTTCATTAGATAAAGAAAATTACAGCAATGCAAAGGGAGAGAAAACCAGTGTGGAACAAAAGCCTTTTGAGACTTCTTTCTTGCAACAAATACTTACTAAACACCTACTGTTTGTAGATAAGACAAAGAACTTACTCTTAGGTCAAAAATGTCATCCATTAGCAACCTTCAGGGAGTGCATAAGTGGGACTGCATTACTCGTAACTAAAAAATGTAGCTCAAACAACATAACACAACTATAAACTAGGAAAAGTGTACTTGGGGATGATCAGAGGCCTCGGTTTTGTGGTCAGAACTAAGAAATATCTATGCTCAAGCAGGAGAAGCACTCAGGAAAACCAAGACAACCCACTCAACTCTCCTTTTTGTAGAAAATACCCAGTTCACTTGGCAGAACCTGATCCCAAACACCAAGGATACTTGAGACAATAAAAGCAACTGACCTGATTTCTCCTGATAGACACCTGGCCCTATTGACCACTTCTGGACTTTTCTTACTTCTCTACAATGTCCAGTTTAGAATCAACACACACCATGTCTCCTTTGGGTGAAGTAAAAAGTTACTTTGCTGAAAAGGATAGGGAATTATACTAAATTAAAGACAATTTAAAACTGAAATCAACTCAATTTAAGACCCGCTGCTTCCAAGCTGAACTGAGAAACTGAAGATCTGGGCATTTAGAAGCATGTGAGCATCAGAAGCATGAACCCAACAGTTCACAGGGCGGTAGGATTCTAAATTTTGCAGTTTAAATTTGGAGTTTTCATTATATGATTGATGCTTAAATTAATTAATTGCAAAGTGTATGCTAATTGTTTAATTGGTTGCTTGATCTATATAGATCATTTTTTGAATTAAATGAGTTGATTTACAAAGTTTATTGATTGGATGTGACAATGAATTATTTCGCTGACTACCTGATTTGCAATTTTCCCAATTAATTCACAAATCTTTAGCCACAACTCAGCTTACTGAGAGAGAGCCTACTTCAGGTGATCTATACTCAGTCTGTCATGACTAAGAGATATTTATTATATAAAACAGGTAATAAGGACAGATTAAAATTAATGGGAACTGTAAATTTACTAAATGGATGGATAACAAGAAAGTAATCTGCCTATGTTTGTCACTATAAATTTAATGTATTTGCAATGCTGTTAAAATTCATCTCTGAATAGTATGGGAAACTTACTGATCTTTAAATGCAGAATGCTTGTAGAAGCAGAAGAAACTTCAGATGAGAAAAATGTCAAGGTACAGCTGAAAAGAGCTTTGAGTCCAGAAAGACTAGAGCTCAAACCTCAGCTTATGGGCTTTGCGATTTAAAAGAATAAGCTTCACCTATTTGAGTTTGCTTTCACTTCTATAAAAAGGACATAATTGGGGGCCCTCCCTGGTGGTGCAATGGGTTGAAGCACAACACTGAGAAGCTAGCCATGACCCTTCAGCATGAGTTTAATCCCTAGCCAGAGGGGTAACCCAAATGGCTCAACAGACCTCTCCTGTTTCACCCCCTGCTCCCATCAGCAGTATAGCTTGTCAATCTGCTTGTTCTGCTCCCCACTATGTCTCTGGTGAATCCTCTCACTGCCCCTGTACCTTTGGCCTGTACCTTACTTCTGTATGCATAAATAAATAAATCTTTTTAAAAAAATCAGTTAAAAAAACTTTAATCACCAAATTCAGAAGTTATTGTAAACATGGGATGAGATAATATATGTAATATATAACAGAGGTTAAAAAAAAAAGGTATGATAACTGTAAGAAAATCAGATGGAAAATATTCTAGTAACATTGGCCCTGAAAGATAAGACTGTGGATACATACTGGAGACATAGTGAAACTGAGCAACATGTTCTAAATGCACACATCTGTTAACAGAAGTGAACATGTCCACTGTGCTCCAGCCTTGGGGCCACCAAGCCTCCAGGGTTTTATGAACAGGAGAGACACAGATGAAGCAAGCAATGGACAGCACAGATTATTTATTGTGGTGTAAATCATCCTGCGGAATCTCTGATTCCTCGGCACCACAGAGGTTTCAAGGGCAAATAACAAGCCTATTGATCAAAGCAGAAAGCCAGACATTGGTATCAGAAGACTTCTGCTCTGACTGTCACAGGATATACCCCAACCCCCTGAAAACAAGCTCAACAAATGTCATGGGCTAAGGTCTAAGAGCCAAAAAAAAAAGGTTCACGCTCAGTGCTATGATTCCTCCTTGGTCTTAAATACAGAGTGTGAAATCACTTATTCATTCAAAAAACATTTGCAAAGTGCCTACATGTGTTTTAGTCTGAATACTGGGTACACAGGGTACACAGCAAGGGAAAGAATGAATGATTTCACCCTATACTACACAAGACTAATGAAGTCTTTTCTGGGTCATTAGAAAAGTTTAGCAGCAAACACTTCTCTAAACCCTGCAACCCCTTAACTGAACATTCCTGAGGGGACAATGTCTGAAATTTCATATTCTATGCATGGACCTATTGGTTCCTTTGTGCCTTTATAAAAGAATCATTAATAACTTACTGTGGCCTTCTGATTTCTAAAACTGCCCCAGGACTCCAGCACAATAGCCACCACACAGCATCGCTGGTGACATTTGAGTGCTACATGCCAGACACTGTACAAAGTGGTTCACACACATAAACTCAATGAATCTTCACATCAACTTTGTGAGCTAATTTTTTTTAAGATTTATTAATTTATGCACACAGAACTGGGGTACAGGCCAGAGGCACAGGTATTGTGAGAGGATTCACCAGAGTGAGAGTGGGGAGCGGAACAGGCAGATCAACAAAGTACACTGCTGAGGGGAGTAGCGGGCGGGTCAGGAGAGGTCTGCCACGCCATGTGGTCACCTCCCAGGCAAGGACTGAACTCATGCTGAAGTGGGTTTAGCTTCTTAGTGCTGTGCTTTAACCCGCTGCGCCTCCAGGGAGGACTACTTTGTATGCTTTACAAATTAGAAAATTAAGGCTCAAGAAGGTTGAATGGCTTGCTCAAGATTAACAGCATGTTAGTGCTAGAGCTGAGATTCAAATACGAGCAGTCAAAAGCTCTACTCTACTCTCTGCACCCTGCTCCACACCAACTCCTATCCATCTCAGCCACCCATTTGTCAAGACTTCCCCAGGTACTTGGAAATCCACGTTGCTATGGGAATATTACATACTTTGAAGAGGAGGTAGAAGCCACAACATGCTACTTATAAAAAGTAGAGACTCAATGAGATTTATTTCAATTTTCTCAGTTTTATAGGAAGTAAACATATCTAGAAAAGAATAATAATATGTCAATGAGCAATCAGTAATAAGTAGCAAAGCTTCTGTATTACTATTTGGTCAGACTGGTAGCATTCTGAAAAACTGGAGAAGAAAAAAAAGGGGGTAGTTATGGTCTCTGACTCAGGAATTCTCCACATATAGAGATTTGTTTATGAAACAATGATAACTGAGGTGCCTCCTTATACAAGTCTGGTGGAATAATTTTGCAGTCAAATCCGATTTGAATGCTGACTCAACCACTAACCATCTGTGTGACCAACTCCCTCTGAGGACCAGTTTTTAAAAAATCTGTACAAGGCATGTGACATGTTGAAAACAACTGAAAGGATCAACAATAACAATCGGTTAAATTATAAAAAAAAAAAAATCTGTACAAAGCTTTTCTTGAATTCTCTAGGAGAACCATTTAGGTGAGTAGGAGAATCCAAGTAATTCTCATCATGGTCTTACAGACTTTGGTTATTATTTCTGTATGTAACATATCACATTGTGCTTTCCTTATTTATTTCCTTAATCAAGCAGTTCTTTCACTGAAGTAACTGAAGAGTAAAATGGTTGGAATTTAGAAAGTACTTACCAAATACTTGTTGAATGAATGAATATATGAATGTGTAGACTCACTTTACCCGTGGGGAAAAAACCACAAAGGGTATTATTAATGATGTGTGTGTTAACAAGGAGAGGAGAAATAATAAACTTTTTTTTTCTTGCTTGTCACATTGGTATCTGTTGACCAAACGGGGCTCTCAAGGCAATGCGCATGTGCCAGAGACTGTAACTCAAGGCAAGGGGAGAAGACCCAGCAAGAGCTTAGGATGAAAGAGGTACACACATACTGGCATTTTTTTTAAACACTGAGAATCTATTACTATTATGTAAAAATGTTCAATTATATAAAGAGATTAGAAGAAAAAGTACCAAAAAGTTTAAAAACATTGTATTTAAGCAACGAGCATAGTTTTCTTTCTAAATTTCTATTCATTCTAAATGTCCCATAATGAGTCCATAGAACTTCCATTTTACTTCCTTTAGAAAATACTATTTTTGATAAGCATAATATGTGCTCATTGTGAACAACTTAGAAACATGGAGCAGTACAAGGAGGAGTAGGAAATCCCTCAGCTTACTACACACAATCACTTATCCTAGAGACTCTGCCTTACCCACATGCCCTGCTGATTCCTAATTGGTCATTTTCTCTAAATTTTGGAATCATGGAAGAAATTATCTGCCTTCTCCAAATTAAATGACTGACTTCATCGCACAGAGCTTGGCATGAAGGAGTCCCATTTTGTTCTGATTACTTCCATAGTTCTTAAACTTCTATTTGCACAAAAGCAGATGTAACTATCTTACTATCTAATAGAAGCATGAATGAGAACCCTAAAAGTCCTGTTTTTGAATCACTACCAGAGAGGAGTGATCAAAGGTGTGAACCATTATAGGACAACTGCAACCAGAGAGAAGAGTTTGGAGCTGAGTTGACATGGAAGCAGCGGCCGTCCCTTTAGGGACCATGAAGTTTGGGAAAGGATTTGAA